CTTGCTTGCATTCCTTCTTCGTGGTGTGGTCTCCCTCATTTCGATGCTAGCCGTCATCAGGCATTTGAAGAGCAAGAGTCATGATTGTTAAGCCTCATTATTTTCAATGGGGCCTGACAGTTTCAAAGTTAACCAGAAGACAGCAACTTTCATCCAGTGGGTATTTCTTGTCAAGCATGGATGAGTCTTCATTGACTTGTCAATTGTGTTGTTCCTAGATGTCAGTTGGTCACATCTACCTAAATCCAAATTTTTTCAGGCCACGCTCTTAAATAAGGCTACCATTGACTGTTTTCCCCATAGCCCACAAGATGGAATTCATTATGTGGCTTAATAATGTTTTAATTCCATGACAGATTTTAAGGTTGCTTTGTTCTATCACTAAAGGGGAGAAAATGAAAGGCTGCTGCTTTTGTGCTTGTATGCATGTTCAAACACGCACAGGAATGGTTAAGAGAGAGAGATTGAGGTCAACCCATTTGAAATACTGGTAAGTTTTGTAGTGGTCGCAGACTGCCAAAATGATGCATGAGTCCTAAGACAGTTTATCTAGACCAGTGGTTCTCAACCTAGGGTCCCCAGATGTTTTTGGCCTACAACTCCCAGAAATCCCAGTCAGTTTACCAGCTGTTAGGATTTCTAGGAATTGAAGGTCAAAAACATCTGAGGACCCCAGATTGAGAACCACTGATCTAAACAATCTTCCTTGGGAGAGTTCCTACACAATCTCCCTAGATCCAAACCCTCCCTCGAAGCCAAGATGAATAAACTGAGGCTGTCATACTTTGGACACATTGGAAAAGGTGATTGTGCTTAATAAAGTGGAAAGCGGTGAGAAAATTGGAAGACTCTACTAGAAGTGGGTTGATTCAATCAAGGAAACCACAGCCCTGGGTTTCCAAGACCTGAGCAGGCGTGCTGAGAGACCATGCAGGTTTCTCATCCATAGGATTGTCAAAAAGTCAAAGCCAACTGAATAGCAAATGAATATATATATATATATATATATATATACACACACACACACACACACACACACACACACACACACACACACACACATATATATATATATATATATATATATATATATATATGATTCAAGGACATTACTATGGAATATCAGCATGCACCTTAGAGACTGAGAGAATGATGTTAGTAGCATAAGCTTTCATAGACAATCGACCTCATCAGACAGGGATAGAATCGGTAGCATGCTCCACTTCACCTTCCCTTTAAGCATGAAGCCCGTCAGCTCCCATTACAGACACACAGTTATTTCCAGTGTGGTTCTATGCTTAAAGGAAAGGCAAGAGGGAGCATGCTGCCATGGTGGCAATATGGGAGGCTTCCCATGTTCTGCCAGGAACATTGGGGGGAAGCCGGGTAGTCAACACTTCTTCCCATGGGATGGTGACCTTGGTGAGTTGGGCAATGTGAGGTGCGGGGCGATGGGTGCCCCATGCCCCCCGATGTGCACTGCCAGAATAGCCATGATTTGTGGCAATTCATGCGGCCTTTGTGATGAGGTCGCTACTCTGCATCTCCAAATGCATGTACATATATAACTATTCCCTTAGCATATTATACTTTGCTTTTATTATATTATTGTCATTATTTTATTGCATTACTGTTATTGTTAAGCATTTTATTTGTTGTTATTGTCTGCTTTGTATGTACTTTCTTTTGTTTTATTGTAATTATTTGGACTTAGCCTCATGTTAGCCACCTCGAGTCCCTTCGGGGAGATGGTGGGAGGTTATAAATATATTATTATTATTATTATTATTATTATTATTATTATTATTATTATTATTATTATTGGCTAATTACCTTTTGTTCTAAAGATTTTCCTTTATGGATCACCATCTGAGTCTCAAACTGGATTTGGGCTTTCCTATGTAATCATCTATACAGTGAAACCATTTTCTTCAATATCAGCATTGCAGATGAGGTCTATAAAAGGCAGTTGTGCACTTATTTTTCACAAAATTGCCCTTGGTTTTAGGAAATGTTTGATTGCAGGAATGAAATGATTAGCAAAAGAACAATGTGACAGTTTAGAAACAATGGTCTTACCAGCAAAAAAATGGAGAAATTGTTCCTAAACAGACTCATTGTGCAGCTGCAGCACAGGGGAAAGGTTGCACATGAGTGTTGCAGCTTATGCCATAATCAGTGCAATAGTCTTTAAGGTGTGTTAAGTCTGTATTGCTAACACATTTCTAGTGCTTGCAGCGAACTAATGTGGCTTCTCTTTCTCTCCCTATCCAATCTCCCATTCTTCTTCATGATTCTTTGTTCTTTGAGTGGGGATGAATACTGGATTTCTAATCAAGTTTCAGGGATGAGGTTTTCTCAATAGTGCAATAAAAATCTCAGTTAAAGGGCAGCTCTCGTCATGCGGAAACTGGGAGAGCCCCAGTACCTATTGTGCACCTCTGTTGTTATCTTACATTTCAACATACATCACTTAAATCAAAAGCAGTTATCATCAGAGATTTTGTGCAGCTCTCTACTATAGACCTCACTCTTACACAGTATGTAACAAAGCATTTTTTACTTCAGATTCTTCAGTTTGCACGTTTGATAGATTATTACTTTGTCTTTTCTTTTCTAGATAAACGCTTCTCATGTTTGCTAGTGTCCTGGACTTTTGCCATTGTAGATCTCTTTTGGTTTCTCCCCTCCGCCCCATTTTTAATCATTGCAGAGGTTCAAAGTTCTTTGAAGACCTCTTGCAATGGCCAAAAATCTTCCCAAAACTCAGCTTTTACCTGTGGCCACAAAATAGTACTGGAGGGGCTGAGAGGGGAGATGAATAATAGTTCTTACCTATATTAAGCTATATGTCTCTCATCCAGGATGTTGGCCTCTTTTAAAGGCAACTCATTAACCATCCGTATCTTATACCAAGGACTAAAGATCCCATCATCTTTCCCCATTGACTTTATTTGAGCTAATGGGAACTGGAATGAAGCCACATCTGAAGGCATTGTTCTATGCATTATGATGAATTTGAATTATTTCACTGTGTGGGCATTTCCTACAAAACAATCCTGCCAATGAAATGTCAGTTGAATGGAGAAGGATGATTCTATTAGCCCCTGGTGTCTATTTTTGAGAATTCTCGAAGCAAAATTTGGGGGCAGACTGCAGCCAGGAAATCAGAAGACATTTACTTCTTGGGAGGAGAGCAATGATCAATCTCGATAAAATAGTGAAGAGTAGAGACATCACACTGGCAACAAAGTTCCAAATAGTCAAAGCAATTGTATTCCCTATAGTAACCTATGGATGTGAGAGCTGGACCATAAGGAATTCTGAGTGAAGGAAGACAGACGCTTTTGAAATGTGGTGTTGGAGGGAAATTCCGAGAGTGTCTTGGACCACGAGAAGATCAAACCAGTCCATACTCCAGAAAATAATGCCCAGCTACTCACTGGAAGGAAGGATATTAAAGGCGAAGATGAAGTCGCCTGGCCACATAATGAGAAGACAGGGAAGCTTAGAAAAGACAATGATGGAAGGAAAAAAGAAGAGAGGCCAAGCAAAGGCAAGATGGATGGATAGTATCCTTGAAGTGACTGGCTTGACCCTGAAGGATCTGGGGGTGGTCACGGCCGACAGGGAGCTCTTGCGTGGGCTGATCACGAAGTTGGAAGTGACTGAACGGATAAACAACATAGACTGAAAGAGAAAGGGGGGGGGGGATGTTGCTTAGGTAGGCGACTACTAGTGCTACGTGAGAATGTATCCAAAATATACATCTATGTCATGTGTTTATATGTGAGAGAATCTTTTGAGGAGGTTGAATAAAATATCGTTGAACTAAGAGATTGGCTACTAAAGGTCCCTGTTGTTAAAACACTGGCCAAGAAAGCAAATGGAATGCTAGCTTTAGAAAAGGACATTGCTAGGTCTGATTTTCCACTATTAAATTGTGATATTGAAGAAGGAATCTTTATGAAGGGATCGTCTGCTTCTACTGTTTCCTAATACTTTATGTGACCTCCATATATGTATGACTGGTTTCATTTTTGTTAATCATTCGTGTTAAACACTAAGGGAAATCTTCCCTGTTTATTTTAAGTTCCAGGGGCTCTTGTTGTCCACTGGGGTTTGGTACCAGGAACTCCATGGATATCAAAGTCTATGGATGCTCAAGTCCCATGATAGACAATGGCATATTATATACAATAGCAAAATCGAAGATTGCTTTTGCGACTTCTTAAAATATGTTCAATCCATAGATATTTGAATCTGTAGATACGGAATCCATGGATATGGAGAGCCAGCTGCATACGTCTTCATTTGTGGGAAAGTTTGAGTAATTTGCCAGTTCCTTTATATGAAATCACCTAATCTTCTGCTCTTGGGCAATAATGTAAATCAGAATTTAGCTAACTGGTAGATACCACATTCTTCCAAATGTTGTAATGGTATCCAAAGTGCAAATGGTTTTTAATTTTAAGAGAAAATATACATTGAAAGACCTACTGAAATGCATCAATATTATTTTGAGAAGCCTTTTTCATACCTCAGTTGGATGAATAACATCTGGTGAGATCTTTTAAATGACAAAAGAGAATTGGGTGATCCATGTAATGAGATCAAGAGTCACCACAGCAGGGTTTTATACTCACACATACACACATCTTACTTGTGTAATGGCATGGTTGTAAAAAGCTTCACACACAAGCTGTCAGACTCCTGACTAAACACAGGAGCCATGACGTCCTTAGATATTGCATTTGCTACAAAGTGGGAGATGAGTTAACACGCTCTTCTGACTGCGAGAAGGCCAGCTTGCAGGTTAAAAGTTCCCCTGAAATTGTCTGCCTTCTGCCTTGGGAGTCCGTCTCTGTTACAGTATTGCTTTGTTTCCTAGCATGACCACCCCAGGACATATTGGTCTAAGGCAAACACTGTCTCTTTTCAGTCAAGACATTCCTAATGCTAGTTTCCTTTTCTTCCTTTCCCCTCCCTCCCCTTTCTAGGTTGCAAAGGCTGGTGGACGTCCTGAGGAAGAAGATTGGAGCGGGGACCATTAGGACGGTGATCTGATAGAAAACTCCAGTCTAGAGAAAGCATTCACATCTGGTGACCAGCCTGCTTCATTCAGCACTGTGTAAACATGAAAGCCTTAACTTAGCAAACAGTTGTTAGAAGTGGGACACTCCAACGACATTCCAAGCCAAGATAAAATCAAATCATAAATGTTTAACTACTTGGCTGCTGAGTTCTGTGATTTGTCCAGAGCTATCCTGATGAACATTATTTACTTTTGTAGCAGATCTATTTTGGTAGAGCTAGTCTTTGGGAAAGCCTACGTTTATATGTATATGGATATACACATAGATTTGTAGATAATTTTATGGACAGTTGTTAATTTATGTCCTTACTAAACAAAATGTAGTTTCATCTTGCTTTTCCTGCATAATTGACAGTGCAAAAAGTTTTAGAACATTCATAGAATCATAGAATCATAGAGTTGGAAGGGACCTCATGGGCCATCCAGTCCACCCCCCTGCCAAGAAGCAGGAAACTTGCATTAAAAGCACCCCCAACAGATGGCCATCCAGCCTCTGTTTAAAAACTTCCAACTATAAATACAGTGGGTTAAATAGAAATATTTAAAATACCTAACGATCCTGGATATCTACCCAACAAAATGATAGATACTGGCAAAGGGGACCCAGAATCAAGAATTTCCTTTGGATAATATCAAATGCTATGTTTTATCTTTAGGCACACTTCCTTCAGTGCTATAATGGTTAATGAGAACTTCCTATGCGCAGACATGCATATATATCTGAAAGGAGAGATATATGTGGTTAATAGTTTATTAATTTTAGATGCTTTTTTGTAGGAAAAACTGAAGTCATCTTATCATAATTAAAATATAGAAGAGTTAGAAACAATGCAAACTATTTACTAAAAGTACAAATTGCTCACAGATCAAAATTATGAGGAACATTCAACTGGTATACAGGGAGTCTCCCAGTTACAAACATCTGACTTACAAACATCCGACTTACATCCGACTCATTGTTAAGAACGGCGATGAGACAAATCTACCCTCAGAAGGAAAAATCACTCCTGAGAGAGTTATCATGGGAAAAAAGTGGCTCAATTGAAGCTTTATCACCAATCCTTGTTTCCACAACAAGCCATTTTTTTTTCAAATCCAATTTTTACAGGAACAGAAAATGAACTCTTTTGAGTAGAGGCACTGACAGCAAAACAAACACCACAGGGGTGTTAACCCCTGACCATGCTATCCATAGATAGATAGATAGATAGATAGATAGATAGATAGATAGATAGATAGATAGATAGATAGATAGATAGAGTTACACTTACAAAATGTTTATCTTCCAACTTACAAACAAATTCAACTTAAAAACAGACTTACAGAACCTATCTTGTTCATAATTTGGGGACTGCCTGTAATTCTGGTTTTTTAAAATTGGTGAGTCACATCTCATGAAATGCCTGGATGTTGAGAAATGTCTTAATTTGTTGTTGATAAGATGATAATGTAGCAGCTCAATGGGCCTTGCTGAGGAAACATATTCTATAGACAGGTGTCACACCAAAAAAGCTCTCTTCCTTGTCAGCACCATCAAGTCTTCTCTTGAAGGAAGTACTCAAGGGGTTTAGACATTGACCTTCGGTTCATAGCAGAAGAGATATTCCATCATGTACTTTGATCCTGTGTCATACAGATTTCCATGGGTTAAAAGCAGAACTCTGAACTGGACTCAGATATCTAATATAGTAGCAGGCAGTGCAACTATGCTCAAATATGTCTTCAGCCTGTCTCAACTTCATAGACAATCTGACTGCTCTTTTGATTTCTCAAGACTTATTCAAAGGCAGCTTCACATACATAGCACTGCAATATTCTAACCTGGAATTACCCAAGTAGAGATCACCAGGATAGCTAGGCTACTGCTTTCAAGATGAGGACATCTACTGAAGCCACCTAGGTTTTGGACAGACAGACAAACAGTGTAAATAGAAAGAAAGGAGAGGGTGTATGAGTGATTTTTCCAGAAACATATCATTAGACAAGACATAATTATAGATCTACATAGCACATTTCCAATTACAATAAAAATTATACAGTCAGCCCTTCAAACTATAGATTTGATTATTTATGTATTTGTTTATTCATAGATCTGATTAAAATGTTATCTTGGGGAATCTCTAGGTCTTCCAGAGGGACACCATGGTTAGCTTGCACTAGAAGCTGACCACAGAAACATGCTAGAGAACCAGAGATTACTAGAAAAGTGTTGTCTCCAGTAAAAAAAAATCAATTTCACTTTTATGGGGGCCTTGTGCCCCTAACCCCAGTGAATGTGGAGGGCTGACTGAAGCTCAAACCCTGGTTATGGGATCAGACGTTCATAGAATAGATGGTTTTAATTAAATTTTTTAGCTGACAACAGATTGATTTGGAAGACAACATGAAATGGCAAACTGTTTTAAAGTATCTATAATTGTTTTTAATGTAGGTTAATTTCATATTATGTTTGTTTTATTGTTTGGCACCAAGTGGTGCCTGTTGGTAGACGTCCTGAATCTCTCTTTGGAGGTGAGAAGGATGGGATAGGAATGCTCCTAATTATTATTATTATTATTATTATTATTATTATTATTAATTGATAAGAATGTGAGGAGTTTGGTGATACTGTCTCAAGATGTACAAAAGCATCAGTAGATCTATGTATTCAATTAATTCCATGTAAGACAACCTTATGAATCCTTTGAGTAAAGGCAAAGGAACAGCCATATGATTAGCCTCTGTTAGATTGTATCAGTGTTAATTTCCTGTCACTTAGAATTTAGCTCCTTTTGATTGTAACATTACGGACTTTTTTGATGATGCATCTGAAATGGAAAAGTGAAGAATAATATAAGGAGGAAATAAATTTCATATGATATCTTTTTTTCTGTGTGTCCATTATTCTTGCTATCTTCTAGTTTTGTTTTGCTAAGTTGAGTTATCTGTCATTGTATTTCTCTCTGTGTGTGTACACATTCACAACTTTCTCAGTCTGTGTCATGCATCTAAAGTATGCTGAAGAAGCAGAAAGTGCTCTTGAAACTATGCTGAAATATTTCTTCCCTAAAATGACTGGAGATGTTTGATCTTTTAATACTATGGACTTCCATGGCTATTTTTGGCATGGTCAGATGAACATGGCTGCTCCTGAAAGAAAAATAGACAAAAGAAATCCGCTGAAGATTCCAGAATTTTAACCTCATGTCCTCACTCCTGCTTAAAAATTCATCCTCTTCTATCTTTTATGCATTATACTAAAGCACCTTAGGGTTTTTATTGCCCACAAACTACTTAGCAAAGGTGTCAGGAGTTGCCAGAGAATAGTAGGAGAACCTATTTGGTGCATCCGTGAGAGCAGTGGTTCCCAACTTTTTTTTTTGACCAGGACCCACTTGACCAAGGCCCACTTGACCAGGGCCCACTCTCCAACGTTAGTGCCAAAAGGGGCAGGGCTGCTTAGCTCCTTGGAAAGTAGCAGAAATTAATTAAATAAGGAAGGAGGTTTGCGGACTAGATTTTTGTTCTCACGGCCCACTGCTGAGCTGTGGCCCACAGGTTGAGAACCACTGCATTAGAGCAAGGGCTCTCAAACTTTTAAAGCCACTGTGCCCTTTTTAAAAGGAAAGGTTTCTTGTGAATCCCCAAGAAGCTTTTGGACACAAGGGATGCATTACATTTTAAAATTTGACAGATGGGCCAGGCCAGTGGCAGATGGATGGAGAATGTTTGTGTGAACTCATTGAAGAAAACATGAACAAATTCCTATGCCCACTGCACATATCTTGTTTGTAGTGCAAAAAGAGAGAGAAAGGAGAAGGAGCAACTCAGGAGCCATCCAGTCCAAACCACCCCAAAAGATGTCCCTCAAGCCTTTGCAATAATAATAATAATAATAATAACAACAACAACAACAACAACAACAACAACAACAACAACAATAATAATAATAATAATAATAGCAACCCCAGGACCACCCTTCTGCCATGCTGCATCACTACCAACATTGGGGAGGCCCCGCAGGCCACGCTGGCGGCAACATTGGGGGTCACCCTGTAGCCGCGCAGGTCATGCCAGTGGTTGCTGAGAGATCCCACGCTGGCAGCAGTTGGGCTCCAGAGGACAGGTGCTTCCTTGATAGCAGGGAATGGGGGGGGGTTGTTGAGAACCACTGTGTTAGAGCGCTGGCTTATAAATAGAGATACCAGATCTGAGTCATGAAATTCATTAGGTGATTCTGGGCTAGTAATTGACTCTCATCCTAAATGGCTTCTCACAGTTGTTTGCAGGATAAAATTGAGAGAAGAAGAGCAGTCTATGCTTCCTGGAATGCTCAAGAGGATACGTCCGATATAAATACAACAAATCAATTATTTAATAATAGAACCAAGAATAATTGGCTCTGCCACTGATCCTCTTGGAATTCTGGGAGTGGTAGTTCCAAAAAGTAACTTTTCCAACCTGTGGTCTGGAATTAGGTTTATCCCACTTGATTGCAGTAGGAAATGTGAGATGATTTCCAATTGCATGCTGATAATGATAATACTTCCCCCTCTTCTCAGGGTTCAAAGAAAGAGCCTCTCTTCCCCCCCACCAGCAAAGATAACAAATTTAATTACCACTGTGAGTAGTGTCGCTCTTTCGTCAATGCTACATGGAGATACTGTGTATTTTTCTGCAGGACTGCACAGTGAGCTGTGAGCCATCCATGGTCCATGTCATGGTAAAATATGTAAATAGCATCACGTTATCTGAGAATAAGAACATTATTAAAGCTTTTCAGCACTGTAATTAGATTCATGATAAGCCTTCCCTAAGCCCTCACTAATTAACTATATTGCAACAAGTCAACTTGAACAGAAAAGAATTGGGGACCTTTAGTCACCCAGCAATGTTTCCCATTCAGTCTCATATTGTAACCTGAGCATGGTGTTTTGCACAGTGCAATCTCTTTCCCTCAACCTCTGGCACCCTCTTATGCAAGAAGAGTAGGAAAAGGGGTCAAGATGACACCCAATCCAAGACTGGATTACTCAATCTCGGTTTAGGGAACCTTAGACTGAGCAAACTTATAGGTTGTAGTGATGGACCGAAATTGAGTTAGAATGAGAATTGAATCCCCTGTGAGCCATGAAAGTTATGAGGTGACCTTGGGCCAACCATTTTCTTTCAATGTGATGTAACACACAAAATTGCTGTGTTATGCATGTATGTGCCAGAGTCCCACGTCCACAAACTGGTTATAGTTCCCACTGAGCAGAAGACACCCATGGCCCTCCCAAAATTGACATTGCAGGTTACCATGAGCATGTCCAAGAGCCCTGCCAATGCCCTCCACAAACGCCATACTGCCCACCTCTCAAGTGAAGGCCTTCAGACAGGTACAATTTCCACCTAGATTTTCAGTTTTTCCTCCACCAAAGACACCTCCTAGGGTTCCTTTCTCTCTTAATTGGGGTGGAATTTGCATGACCCTGCCCACTGCTTCTCCCATAACCCTTTGCATGACCCCCCCCCCAACTGCCTCTTCCTTAACTCTTTCCTATGGCACACAACAAACAAAGGAATTAACTGACTCCACAGGATGGAACTTGTAGTTCGCCCTGCAGCAAGACACAGCACTGTGACACCCCACTGATAATGGACCTGGATCACATTTTGCACATAGAACCCCTATGACCAACAAAACATACTGGAGGGATCTGGGGCGAATTCACCCAGATTTATAGCAGTTGTAGGTACTGGAATTTATAGTTCAACTGCAAGCAAAGAGCACTCTGGACCCCACCAACGATGGACTTGGAACTAACTTGGCACACAGAACCCCCATGACCAAGAAAAAAACACTGGAGGCCTTTGGAGGGATTTATAGGAGTTGTAGTTCACCTACAACCTGAGTGCACTATGCACCCAAACAATGATGGCTCTGGGCCAAATATGGAACGCATACCTGATATGCCAAAATTTTAATACTGGAGGATTTGGGGTGAAATTGGCCTTAACATTCATTCGTTGTAGGTACTGTGATTTATAGTTCACTTGCAATCAAAGACCATTCCAAACCCCAGCAATGATGGACCAGGACCAAACTTAGTATAGAGAATTCTTGTGACCAACTGAAGATACTGCAGGGGTTTGTGGGAATTGACCTTGATTTTGGGAGTTGTAGTTCACCTGCATCCAGAGAGCACTGAACCCAGCCAATGACAGATCTGGACCAAACTTGACACACCGACTCTACATGGCCAACTGTGAATACTGGCTGGGTTTCGGGGTGAGTGCCCTGGGAATCTGGGAGTTGTAGTTCTCCCTTATCCAGAGAGCACTGAATCCAGCCAACAATGGATTTGAACCAAACTTGGTACACACACTTAACATGGTCAACTGTGAATACTGGCTGGGTTTTGGAAAGATTGTCCTGGGAATCTGGGAGTTGTAATTCACCCTCATCCAGAGAGCACAAAACCCAGCTGACAAAAGATCTGGACCAAACTTGACACACAGAACCAACATGGTCAACTGTGCATACAGGAGGGTTTGGGTGACTGCTCTTGAAGTTCACTCTTATCCAGAGAGCACTACAGCCAGACGATGACATACCTGGACCAATTTTGCACACAGACCCAAAATGGCCAACTCTGAATACTTGCAGGGTTTGGTGAGGATTGACCCATGATTCTGGGAATTGTAGTTCACCCACACAAAACTGAGAATACCTAACATATTATTTATTTTATTTATTTATAAATAAAATAAATATTTTATTTTTATTTTATAAGTCGCTTATACCCCGCCCTTCTCACCCCGGGGGGGACTCAGGGCGGCTTACACAAACAAGGCACAATTCGATGCCCACATTACATGACAACAAAAACATAACATCAGTAACAATAGCAATTATAGCAATGATAACATCCAAAAACAAACAATGCCTTTTTCAAATAACCCAAGCATCACTGAATCCCTAAACCAGTATAATCAATATATCTCAGTGAAATCCCTTTATGATGTTGGCGTATTGGAGCTGTGACTCGTCATAGCAACATTGACGACATCATAAAATGGTTCTTTTTGATGGCACTGGTAATGCAACCTTCTTTCTCCCTTTGCTTTGTCTCTAAGATAGATGGTGACAATTGCATTCTCACTGCTTGTGGTATTGCTATCTTGAGTCGCCTTGGAGTAGAGAAAGGCGGGGTATAAATAGGGTAAATAACAAATAAATATCTCTTGCACCCAAATGTGCCTTTTCTGGGCCATTCAAATGATGAGACCTCAGAGTTATTGGGACCCAGTAATAAGCACTTTCTTATATAGGCAAGTGGAAGGGAATCTGCTTCACAGTGGGAGTTTGCAGTTCAGTTTGTGCTGCATCCAGTAAAATATCCACACCTTTGTGGTATTAAAAAGCATATGTGATTTTGTTTTGTGCTGCATCCAAAAAACATCAGTTCTGCTTGTTAAAACTCTTATTACTTTTACATTAGTAAAGTATTACTGAAACTCCAAAGTTTCTCAGTTGTTTTGCTTTGACTGGAAGTCAGCTTGTAGTCTTGGGCAGTCTAGACTTCAGTTCAGTTTTGTTGGAGCTGCACGTGTTCTATGAGGCTTTTAAACAAATAGTTGGAATGGTTGAATGATTTACATTGCCAGTGCCTAGCTAAATATGTCGCCTTTAGAAAAGATGTGGTTTATTTTGGCAGGGTTTAAAAAACTCAAATATTTTAAACATTTGTTAAGTTCAAGCCTGCACATTTGAACTAGGAGTATACGTTCCAAAATTGCATCTCGGGTTACCTGTCTCTTACCCTTTTGTAGATTGTAATCCTTTTATTAAAATAGTCATTGAAAAGGTTGGTTTAAAAACAGTTCAATGTGAAGGATTG